AGGCTACGATGGGGATGGCTCAACATTAGTCTTAAGTTAGTATTGGATTTGTAGAGGGGGAACTCGTAAACTATGTATTTGCTTTCTAGAATGTCCCAAGTTTTATATACACGGACAGGAATAACTGCTCCAAAGTTATGTTTATATTTAACTTACAATTGAAATCATAATAAAAAAAAAACAAGCTTACGTAAAGAGGTACAGTTGTTTAATTCGGTTATAATGAGGAATACGATTATTTTTTAAACTGTTTGAAAGAGGATAATATTTCTAAATTCAAAATAAAACAGTTAAGCATAACTCACGAATCACTTATTCTTTTGAGATTCATGGCATAAAGAAGAATATTTTCAATCAAGCTATTTAGAACACGTTTTAATTATCTTGAAAGAGGTCTTATGGCAAGATCTTATTTATGGACCGATTTGAATTCTTCGTACTGAATAGTGTTATTTAAGGAGTTTTAAGATCAACCAAAAGCTGGAGACATTGCTGGAAGTGGAACACAAGCATGCTTGGGGCTGCCAGCAACTCATGGATAATGCATTGTACTGTTCCGCTCTGACATACAGTCCTTGTGCACTGTATGCAGTTTATATCCATCTTATAACATAACAATCGTAGCAGCTTATTGAATTTAAATACGATTTGATGTTACAAATCTTAATTACTTCTTTAGAGTAGCTTTTAATAAAACTTATAATAAAACACATATTCGGTTTGCTTGGATGTTAGGAAGCTCAATTTTTATAAAGAATTTAACACGTCATTAAAGTTATTTTATAAGATGTTATTACACCTCCGGTAACAAATATTAAATTCAAAACAAACAAAAAACTGTGTTTGATAAAAACTCAAATTATAATTTGTTAAAAGTATAAGAACGATTTTGTATGTAGTTTACACATCCCTAAAAATGGAAAATCTGTGAATGAATTGCGTAGTAATTTGTGCCATAGTTTGGATGTATGTATGTTATCCTTACTAATCTCCGTAAGGCACAGCTTGGTTTCCTAAGATATTTTTAAATAAGTTTATTTGGCAAAGTTATATCAAACTAAATAATAGTTTACTGTCCGCGACGAAGTGTTTGGGTACGCTTTAGTAGTAACTCAAACCTAAATTGACTTATTCTAGTTAATTTAAGCACAGTTTTATAGTAAAATATTTTAAATTAATTTGATTTTAACCAATTAAATCTCGAGCTTTTGTGTAGGCTTTTACTTTGCATGGGAGGAGGTTACATACATTGAAAAAGGTAAACACCTATCAGTTGTCCTCTATACAATGTTTAAAAAATATTTGATCAATTAGTTTTTTTGATCCCTCACAAAGCTTATAACAGCTGTTGTAGTTTGTAAGTCCCTTTTATTTTCTATTGATGATTAACAACGTATGAGATTTTCCCAAGGTTTCTACAGCATAACCTTCTGAATTAATTTATTATATTACACGCCAGACTCTCACACCATTTTTTACATGTTTATCAAACGATATCATTATTAGTGCTAATTAATGCACTGTGTTGGTTTAGGAACCGAATTAATAATGAATTAGACTAGATATGAGACCATTTAAATTTAATACCTTTCATTAATTTACTTACAGATATATTTTGCTATACATTACAAAATTAGTTGTCTATAACTTTTTTTTCGCCAAAGTGATCTCATATATATATATTTTTTTTTTTTTAGAAAATGTATATAATAACCGTATCATGGACTTCAACTACACTGTGTATAGGCCTACATATTTTTAAGCACTTTTCATAGCTCAACTCTAATGGAATATAATGCGGAATGTAGTAAAGTAGCACAGTTTTGTTGTTGTATTATTTTAACAACATATTTACAATACAAGAAAGTAGTTGAAAAAAAAGCTACGATATATAACTAATGACAATTTAAATCTAGTTAATATTAGTTCAATGAGTATATTTGCTATATATATTTATATAATAACTTTCACCAACCCCAAGAATATACCGCATTACTCTAAGAGGACTTGGTGAGTCGGACAACATAAAGCTGCTTACCGGTGGAGAACATTGTAGAAGTCTGAGCTGTCCTGACACCTTGAGAAGATTGGCTTTGGAATCTATATATTCTTATCCCGCTCTTTGCTTTCTGCAATAGTGATCTGTAAAATTATACATATGTTACACTCATCAGTACAAGACAGGACATACAAAACTCATCAGTAAGAGTGTATAAGTTCAGGACAAACAAAGGAATAGGTCATGGAACCAAGAAATTTATCTGAAATAATCCCAAACATGTATTATGGACTAATAGACTTCCCATGTAAATTTAGGACCATCTCACTAGAGGGTACTACTAGGTTAATATAGTTTAAAACCAATGCAGTATCATATAAAAAAGCTGATTGATTTATCAATTGACACAGAATATTGTCATTAGTTGGGAGAACATCTTAACAGATTGTACCACGTTTTTTACTTTAATTTTTTACATTACATAGGAAGTTAATTCTGTGTATAGTAAGTGCTATCATTACATTATTCTCCGTTTTTAGCACAATTAAATTGTTAGATGACATAAATAAATGGAATATACGGTATAATCCTTAAGACAGTGTTCTGAATAGGTTTGTGTCCCGATATCTAACATTGGCAAACCACATATCGACAGATATATAGAGAACAGATTCTTGCCAAAATAATCTTTTGTAAGTCTTCAAAAATAGTAACCACTAAACGTAATTCATACATTTACTAAAGTATACTATTCTATAACTTGTAACCTAATCAAACCCTATCAAAATATTTTCTTCTCACTAAAAATATTTTATTTAGTCAAATCCACAATCGTATTGTCATCTATAAATAATTAAATTTATAATGGTTTTACTAAACGAGTTACCATTTCAAGAGTAACGCATTTCGAAAAAACCATAGCTACTGATAACAGTTTACAAACCCCAATATATAAAACAATGGCCAGTTGCGTCAACAATATAGCACGATCCAATAGTACCTCTGCGTTGTTTTCAAAGCACTTCAGCTTCAGAGTAAATTGCATGACGGGAAATAAACAATGACGTGACTGCGGTGCTAGGGTCAACCACGTTTGTTGAACTTTGATAAAGAAAATACAAAATTGTTATACATTTTTTTTTATATTTTAACAAATCTACGTGGTTTTGGACTATTTTATTAAGATAGAAATTAGATTTCATTTTGTTATTTTGTCTTTAGCTAGATTTTAATGATTGACCCCTAGGACAGAGGAAAGCAAGGATTGAAGTGGCAGTTTTGGCACATAATATGTGCCAAATTATAATAGTAATAATTTTTTTTAGTAATATTATTATAACTGTTTTACGTAAACATTATGCACTATCATAATCACGAATACTAGAAAAATACCGGTATGGATCATAATAAACATAAACAAATTACCTTGTTGGCCCGAATCCTATACTAATATCATTGAACATAATGTTTTTGCAGTTCCATTTAAGCAACGTTAAATAATGTTTATTTTCGGGCCAAAAACGTCATTTGTTTACGTTTATGATCCATACCGGTATTCTTCTAGTAATCGTGTTACTAATCAAATGAAAATTCAAAAATCTTACATTAAAAATAACCAAAATTTTATATTTGTATTAACTTTGTAGGTTGCATTCCAGCAGTAAATTTTTAGCGCCCTACTTATATTACGGTTCAGTTATGCTATCTTACTGGAGAAAGAAATAAAAAGCATCATAACAATTAAGCCCCATTTCAACAAAATGACCCTTCTTACTTCTAACACTTTTGCTGGCTTGACTTAAATTTTCATTTTAAAATTTCTAAACTTATTGACTACTTCTCTAAAATTAGGTTATACCTATTTTTCGTAAGTTAGGGAGTGTAATAAAGTGTTGTTAAGATCCCTAAAAGGAAGGACATTCCAAATATTTTAACTTTTTTGTCCTAGGACGCTAGGCACGAGCCCGGAATTGTTTTTCACATTACTTCGGGCTAGACATAGGGGTAACGGCAATATAACTTCGATAAAATCCATTGGTGATTTTGCGGGGTTTGAACCCGGGACCCCAGGAACCGGAGTTTCGTGCTCAAACCACTAGACTAGCTCGCTCCCCAAATATTTTAACTTATAAAAAGTATAATCTACTGTATTTGATTTTGAAAACAACATTATTTTTTTCATAGAAACATTCCACATACTATAACTTTAACATAATGCTATGTTTATGTTGATTAATATATAAGTGTATGACAGTTCATGATAGTAAAAGGCTCCATTTTGTACTAAGAATATATACTTTTACAGCGCCGAGATTCGTTTTTGACGTTTCTCCTCGACAATGTACAGCTTACATTTGAATATTTGATTGCAACGTGGAAAATAAAAGAGAATATCAGGAAACATATACTTGTTGTTTTTTTTTTTTTTTTTTAGTGTTTGAATGAGTGTAGTGTTCAAATGAAATGTCTTTTTTAGAGAGGACTTAGTAACTCAGGGGTTTGCATTGCCCGATAGGACGCCTATAGAACTTAATGATTCCGCAATTGTAAGTAACCTCAATAATAATTGGTCAAATACTCAAATTATCACTAAGTATGAAAATGTTAGGCCTAATGAGCAGTTTTTAACAGTTTTACAGGCTAATTGTCAATGTATTAGGAATAAGTTATTAGACATAGAACATGTATGCCAGTTACAAAATGTAGATATAATTTGTGCCTCAGAACACTGGTTAACTCCAGAGCAAGCTGATATGTTTATTCCACGGAATTTTGATTTGGCAAAATATTGTATGTAGAACTAATTTTAAGAACGGAGGCTCAGCTATATATGTTAAGAAAGACTATCATTACAAAAAAATTGATCTCAATAGGTTTTCCTCTGAATTACATTGTGAAATTTGTTGTATAAAGCCAATGAAAATTTGCTTGTAGTAAGTTTGTACAGGTCACCGAATGGTGACTTGCCCACTTTTTTTGTTCAATTTAAAGAGGCAATGAAATATGTTCTTAGCTTGGGTAAAAAAGTAATAGTCTGTGGGGATTTCAATATTGAAATGGCAAAACTAGATGAGCAAGTCTCAATTAATTTCAAGAATTTACTGCGGTCACTAGACCTGGTATGTAGCAATAAACTCCCAACAAGAAACTACGCCTGTTTAGATAATGTTCTAGTCAATTTTACTCAAGATTTATATACAATTTCAGTTCTGCAAGGTGCTTTGGCCGATCATGACCCATTGCTTTTTAAATATCGTAAACCATCATCCACAAATACTCAAAATGCAAACCAACCTACATTATTTGTCAGGAAACAAAATAAACAAAATCTTAATCTTTTTTGTGAGGCCTTACAAAATGAGTCCTGGCAAAACATTGTGGACAATGAAAGTAACTCAGAAGCTTTATTTAATAGCTTTTTTTATCAATTTGTTGACCTTTGGTATTATTGCTCCCCACTTGTAAAGAAGAAACCTAGATCAGACAGTAGGACTCTTATAAAGAAAAATAGATTTAATTGGTACAATGATAGTTTAAGGAAAAGTAGGGAAACCATGCTAGCTTATAATTCCTTGTACAAGAATCTTTTAAAAATTAACTCTGTAAAGGCTCAGGCAGCTTACAATATTTATAATAACTTGAAAAAACAATATAGGAAGGACTTAACCCTTGCTAAAAAATCAGCTTGTGAAAAATATATTAACAATTCCAAAAACAAATGTAAGGCAGCCTGGGATATAATAACACAAGAAAATACCACCACACGCACATCTCATGTAACACTTGACCCTAATGAACTAAACACATATTTTACAGATTCTGTTGAGGAACTGGTCAACCAAGTTGGCCAAACCCAAACCACACCCAGTGATCTGCTGGAATCCAATAAACAATTGGACAACATTTCCAAATTTAAATGGACATCAATCACACCAGACGAGGTAATAAAAACAGTTTCAAAATTTTCAAACTCAAAAACCATGGACCATTTTTGGCTTTCAAATTATATAATCAAGAATACTATACACTACATTTCTACACCCCTCTCTACTGTATTCAATAGTTGCCTCCGTAATGGTTATTTTCCTGATTTACTTAAAATTTCAAAAGTAACTCCAATCTATAAAAAGGGCGATAAGAACCTTTGTCAAAATTATCGTCCAATCTTAATAGTTCCAATTTTATCTAAAGTTTTTGAAGCTCTCATGTTGAAACAACTCAACAATTTTTTTGATTCCAATAAGTTGATGTCTGACTCTCAATTCGGTTTTAGAGCTGGTAGATCAACCACTATGGCAGTCTCTCACATTTCCAATTACATTATTAATGCTTTTGAAAATAAAAATACTGTGTCCATGCTTCTTTTTTACTTAACAAAAGCTTTTGATTGCATTCCGTTTGACATTTTGCTGACAAAGCTCAAATTTTATGGACTTAATAAAAACTCAATAGACATAATTGAATCATATCTGACCAACAGGAGGCAATTTGTTAGTGTGGAGGGTAAAAACTCAACATTGACAGCAATTAAAGCAGGAGTTCCGCAGGGCTCGGTCCTGGGCCCTTTTCTTTTCATTGTCGCAGTCAATGATCTTCCATGTAACATCCCTATTGACAGTGTTATACAGGGTGTTCATTTGAAAACTTTCCATATCTGTTGTGTGCAAAGGTAAGGCTTTTAACACTTGTTTGTTCTCGTTTACCCCTAATTTGGACATGCCAAATCCAATAAAATTATTTTCAATTTTGAAAAATGCCCCAAAAGGGCCCAATTTGGGGGGTAGGGGTGCTTTTTGAGAAATTTTCAAATGTAAACATGGGTTGTGTGATACATCAATTTAAAGGTCTAATCACCCCGATCATTTTGGTGCAAAAAAGGTTTAATTATCTTTAACTGTATTTACAGGGTGGGTCAAAACGTTTTAAAAAAGGACTTTGAAGTTAAGTACCGTATTACCCTAACTACTGAACGGAACAGCGCCAAATTTCTTTCCAAGCTTATTCTTGAGCTACTCTTTAAGATAACTTGTAGTAAGGGCATTTTCCAAGTTATTTTCTAATTTTAAAAAAATCCCAAATTTTAAGAATAAAAGAAAGTTGAAAACTCAAAATTCTTAAATAGCAAGGTATAACAAATTTCATACCACGTGAAAGGTCCTTTTTTAACAAACATTTTACGTATTTAAGTTTTCTTTCTATCTCTTACCGTTTAAAAATTGCAGTAGAAAAACATAATTTTCTATGGTAAAATTGTAACTAGTTTTCTAATAAAACAGCCAAAATTCGTCAATAGACACATTAAATGGTGTAATAACTGAATGAAACAATTCATAATTATTTTTAGGCAGATAGGCAAACAAGTCATTACGTTTTACTTTGTGAAAAACAAGTTTTATAGCTGATGAGAAAAACCCAAGCGTGGGCCGCTTTCTGTAGTACCATTGACTAGTCAATGGTAGTATTAATTTCAAAAGTACCATTTCCTGTCGTACCTAATCAAATATGGTGTAAACTTAAAAAATAGACTTTATTTTACTTATTGGTCATAACAAAAGTGTTCCAGGATAACTGCAAAGTGTTTAACAATAGATATCCAGGTAAGACCTTGAGTCATATGGCTGTAAATGATTTAGTTAGGAAGTTTTCTGAAACTGGCTCAGTTACCAATGAGAAAAGAACAGGATGAGGGGTCCAAGATGAATTCTGACACACGTAAAAGTAGTCGATCAATTTGTTATGAATCCTACTACATCGTTGAACAAAGTGCAATGTGTTTTATTAGAAAACTAGTTACAATTTTACCATAGAAAATTATGTTTTTCTACTGCAATTTTTAAACGGTAAGAGATAGAAAGAAAACTTAAACACGTAAAATGTTTGTTCAAAAAGGACCTTTCACGTGGTATGAAATTTGTTATACCTTGCTATTTAAGAATTTTGAGTTTTCAGCTTTCTTTTATTCTTAAAATTTGGGATTTTTAAAAAATTAGAAAATAACTTGGAAAATGCCTTACTACAAGTTATCTTAAAGGGTAGCTCAAGAATAAGCTTGGAAAGAAATTTGGCGCTGTTCCGTTCAGTAGTTAGGGTAATACGGTACTTAACTTCTAAGTCCTTTTTTAAAACGTTTTGACCCACCCTGTAAATACGGTTAAAGATAATTAAACTTTTTTTGCACCAAAATGATTGGTATGATTAGACCTTTAAATTGATGTATCACACAACCCATGTTTACATTTGAAAATTTCTCAAAAAGCACCCCTACCCCCCAAATTGGGCCCTTTTGGGGCATTTTTCAAAATTGAAAATAATTTTATTGGATTTGGCATGTCCAAATTAGGGGGAAATGAGAACAAACAAATGTTAAAAGCCTTACCTTTGCACACAACAGATATGGAAAGTTTTCAAATGAACACCCTGTATATGCAGACGACACCACAATTTTTACTTCTGATAAAGATCTTGTAAAGCTCTCAGAAACACTTTCTAATGCAGAAAACAGTGTTTTAAACTGGTTTTCTACAAATAAACTCATCTGTAACCAATCCAAAACCCAGAAAATAGAATTTTCACTCTCTTCAAACAAATAAGACCATTCAGTCAAACTTCTTGGCATTCACCCAAATTTAAGCAAAAAACTATCGAGAGTTTCATGTCTATTCTGGATACTCAAGACTTTTGTTGACATTGAATATCTCAAACTAGCCTACTTTGGACTGTTTAAATCCCACATTCAATATGGAATCCAACTTTGGGGCCATTCCCCCCATGTTCATGAGCTTCTACTAATACAAAAAGAAGTCATCCGCACTATGTCGGGGGCTGGCCCTGCGGAGCACTGCAAGCCACTTTTTGTCAGACTAAACATTTGCACAATCATTAACTTATACATCTACAATGTACTTATATACACTAAAGCTAATCTCAATGAGTTTTCCACCAGGCAGAATTACCATTTCCACCATACACGAAACAAGGAACAACTGGATATACCACATCACAGGCTGGCCATCACAGGTAATTCTTTTAAACTTAATTGTGTGAAATTTTATAATAAGCTGCCTGAGCCTCTTCAGGCAGACAGCCTTTCTCTTCCTCTTTTTAAGTCAAAAATTCATAACTGGCTCATAGCTAACTCATTTTACTCAGTTAAGGACTTTATGAATTATAAAATTAAAGCCGAATCTTTCATACTGTAAATCAAAAACTTTCAATCGTTATTCTTAATCTTTGTTATCTATAGATATGAACATGTTTAGTGATATTTTATTTAATGTAATTTGACAATGCCTATTCCTATGTACAACTTGGTCAATGGCAATAAACTTTCTTATTCTTATTCTTATTCTTATTCTTATTTGGCTTGACCTCAGCTTAGTAATTTGATTTTATTTATGTTAAAAATTTCTTAAATTTACAATGAAAAATTTTAAATAAATCATTCAACTATTTAGTAAACCTAAATATTTAATTTTCACGTTATTAGGTTATCTTACATTATTGTAAATATCTTTCTCACAGAAAATCTACTTTATTATCCAATGTTCCTTTTGCACTGTTTAAAAACACGTATTTTGAAGTATAATACTTGTCGTAGCCCAAACCATTGTTGAGGTATGTTATCATTTACACTCTCTCGCAATTATTTAGTTTACTTTTTCAATATTTCTACATGATTCCTTGGGGGCTTTAAATTGCTAGCCCCAAAAAATGTGCTATCCAAATATTAACGTTTCGAAACAGCTTGACACGGCTAACAAATTAAATGTCATTATTGTGGGATAAAATGTAAGAATTCCCAGTACTTCCTGCTCTACCTCTGCGATAAGTTCAAATGTCATGAACTTTCAAATATAAAAAAAAAACGTGGATGCATATCTTGCTACTGCAGTAGGTCTCAAAATGTATGCATGAATAATTTTATACTCACAATGTAAATATTATTGTATCCAATAATTATTAAGCAATACGGCCCGAGATATTTGTTAGTTCAAGCGAAAATGTGCGAATGTTGTGGAAACACTAAGGGTTTTCCAGTTGAGAAAATAAGGTAATGCCAGGGTTAAAAGGAGTTCTCCACAGAGGAAGGTTGTTTTACGAGGACCAGCTAACCGTGACCGGGTAACTCCTGGTGTTTGAAGCGCCTTGTCACACTTTAACTTTGAAAAGATCTTTGCGAAACTGAACCATCTTGATAACATATTTATTTGTAAAGAAAGTAAATTTCACACCCAGTTGAAATACAGTATTAATTATAAATATACAGGAATAGCAAAAGGTTCCGGAACAACCCAATATATGTTTCCAAGTTCCACTTACACAATTTAAACTTTGCAAACTGTTTATGTGTATACAAAACTACTTTTTTTAGAATATGGCAGATTTTTCAGAAAAAGAAGTAGGTGACGAATCTTAAATGTAAGCATGGGTTGCTATGCATATAATTTTAAAGGTCTTGATGAGATAAACACAATGACATAAAAAAATGAAAATTCAATGATCCTGAAAAGGTTATGGCTGTTCAAAGTTTTGATATGCTGCATGCTAAATGAGCCTTATTCTAAGTTTAATTTCTTTTTACATGTTCCATGTATCACAGATATGTTAAAAAAGGAAGCATTTACTTCTTTATACCCGTAAAACATTTGCAGAGTTGAATGTGTAATACATGGAACTATTACGTAGTAAAAACCTTACATGTCCAACTAGCTCACATTTCTAACCAACTGGGACTTTCTCAATGGACCGACACCCGGAGTAGCCGGTATTTACTCAGGGGAGGTATAGAAGAGGCTACGATGACAGCTGTGGGCTTCTTATTAGTTGAGGGAACGCCATTACCGTAACAAAACGATTGGTAGCCATCGGCTTCGATGGTCTAATGGTTAGCGTGCCGGGCTGATATGCTGAAGCTCCCGGGTTCGAATCCCGCTGGAGGCATTAACTTTTTGTCCAAGATTTTTTTTTATTATCAGCAAGTTTGGTTGGTTTGGTTCGGTTATGACAGTTTAATTTTATTATTAAGTCATTATAAAATTTTAATTGAGCAATTTCTAGTTTTATTTAATAAACAGAATTATTTTTTATATTACTAAACTTTTGTTATATTATTTCATTAACAGCAAGTTTGGTTAGTTCGGTTAGATTATGACAGTTTAATTTTATAATTAAAAAATAATAAAATTGAATTTGAGGCATTTATAACTTTATTTTATGAACAGAACAAACTATTTTTGCGATTAGTAAACCTTCATTGCCAAAGTGCTCTCTGTTACAGCGCTGTTCACGGAGGAATTTTGAACTAAATGCCTCATTCGTACCTCCCCTAAGTCAGACCCCCCAGCCAAAGGGGATTTGTGAGGTGAACCAAAGCTGGTAACTTTCTTTCTAGAGGTGATCGTGACCATCAATGGTCGTGACTACTATTTGGATTGTTAAACTGTGAATAGCGAGGTTTTTACTATTATTTTACATTTTTCTGGTTAGTTTTTATACACATAATATTGCATAACTTTTGTGGTTCGCTTAGCAATATTAAGATTTAATGAAATACTAAATGTAATATCAAAAAGGTTTTTTAATAATAATTTAAATAATATTTTTGAAGGATAACTTAAACACTGTAGTTTACTTACCTAAAGTTATATTATATTTTAGCATATTATTTAATCTTAAATAAAAAGTATGTTAAGCACTAATGTATTCGTGCTGTGAAATAAAAAGCTCTTGGTGGTACATTAGGAATAATTTTCTACACGTTTAATAAATGCTAAAAGGACCACAAAATATTATACAGCCTTATACTGTAGTGCCAATTTAATCTTGTTTCTATTAAAAAAAAATTGTTTAATCTCCAAGACGGAATAGGTTTAAGTTGATTCCCATACATTGGGGAAAACGTTATATGATCCTGTTAACATTTTAACATCATGTGTTTCTTCTGAGCCACATTCAAACTCAGATTTTAATATTGATGGTTATAGGTTAAACTATCTATGGTTAACCGTACATTATGTACTACTTCAAAAAAAATTGTTTTAATATATTTATTGTGTACCCCGATTATGTTTTTCAGTCAAAGGTAAAATATAAAGCCAAGATGGGGTACGAACCAAGGCCTTAAGGACTGAAGTTCCACCCTCTACCACTACCACTCCCCGAGTAGCCCATGTATATTTTAAAACGAGATTAAAACGGGTACATCAAAAGTTGGATACTCTTAAACTCCCCAGAATGGACTTGTGCTTTAAATTCCCTATCAGTAAGCTCATTTTGAACTCCTCTACAAGTAAAATTCGTTAAAGTCAACCTGTAAAAATTCAACAAACACATATTTGATTGAAACAAAAAAAGAAGAAACTCCCAATGGTAAAACCTACAATCTGACAATTCAGTAGAACCTTGATAACAAGACTCTCATGGGGATTGTAAAATAAGACTTGTTATCAAGGTTGATTCTTATCGAGGTTTGTAATAACAAATGATTAGGGGTAAAATAATTTTAAGGGAATTTGAAAATGACACTTGTTATCAAGGGCGACTTGTTATCGAGGGTCTTCTTGTATAATCATATAGATTTTATCGTGTTAGAGTAACACTATGAATGTATGAAACTGATCCGACAGAAAGTAAACCATCTCCACAGAAGAGTGTCAATACATTTGCTACTAACTCAGTTGGAAAGTTGCCAGCTTTAGTTAAACTCTTGAAATCCCTTTCGGCTACTTTGAGTTTACGCCCCGTCGGGGTTGTCACTCTCTATTGGTCTTTAAACATCACTTCTACATCAGGATAAAACAGGAAATTCAGTTCAGGAAATGTTGTGTTCAGGGAATTGCATTTGCATCTAAAACTAACAACATAATGATTATGCAGAGGACGTATTTGTAATACGTGTACAGTTTTTATAATCACCCTAAATCTTTACTGTTATTCAATAAAATAAAATTGAAATAAATAACTAGTAAGCTATTAATTAGATAATAGAAAAATACGACCATTATTAAAAAATTGCGATTGAAAAAAATGTGCAAAGTATTATGATAGAATAAGCAAAGTTATCCTGCTTCCTTATACTTAAAATGACTTCCAAGCTTTTCAATTATTGTATACAAAGACAGAAATCTTTTAATTAGAGCTTAAAAAATCCATACGATTTATAGAAAGGAGAATTTAGAGAAGCAGATTCAAGTTTTCATAAATATGTAATTGTAGGATATAACAGCTATATAACTAATTAAACTATGGGTCCAAATAATGAGAAAATCTATAATAACATTTCTTTAGAAAAATCATCAAAATCGCTTCGTTAATAAAAATCAAAACATTTAGTTTTTTACATAAAAATGTTTAACTTAAGCTTGTTCCGACCGGTCTTCAGGAACGTAAAATAAGAAGAGATCTATTAAATGTTAGAAAAAATAACTAGTTAAGCATTTTTTTTATGATGATGTTTCAGCTATTTGTTATTTGATCTTTTGAACTTTTTGTGTGATATACAGAGTTTTTCCTCAAATACACATTAAAATGGCCGTGTTAATGTTTAGCTGTTCGTGCTTCTAACTCGTTAGGCAAATTACCATTCACAGCTTGACAAACAAGTTCTTGGGTAAGTTTTGGTCATTAGTGTTTCGTTAATGCATTTAAAATGGAATAGACGAAGTTATGCTTACGTTCAACGTTATTTATCATGTTGTGCCTTGAATTACAGGGTAAATAGGTAACTAACTCATTGTAAGCGGAAACCATTTATTAGCAAAATGTAAAATATAAGTAGGAATTTCCAATGTGTATTCAGTACAAATGTATTAATACTATGTCATATATCAAACGCAGATTATAGCATGTATGTGACATAATTAATTTAATTTCCGTCCTGTGTATCAACATCGTTTCTTAGACATGGTTCTTGGAACTCCAAAGATACATTAATATGTTTGGTGCTTGCAATTAGTTTACAAACCCACTAAATACTTAAGTAATATAATTTTTTAAACTTTGTTGACACATGGATCACGCCAAAATAGGCTACAATTATGAAAAACATATATGTGTTAGGATTATTTTCAAACGAAAAATAAAATAAACTAATTACAAATCAATTATATTATGACCTTAAATGTCGGTTTCACTTAAAATCGATAACGAAGTTCTTAAACCCCAACTGCTATTAAAATAGCCTAAATATATTCTTTAATTCAGAGCACAGTACAATTAATATTATTCGAGTATGGTAGAAATTATATTTACAATAATATGTAGGGTTATATTAAAAAACACACTTTACGGCTTAATTATGTTCCAAATTGTCAAATTAATCACACTAAATCAGGGTTGTGT